TTGCTACAACTTGTCTGCTTCCTAGAAAATCTACATTGAAGACAAAATCAGTCCCACCTCCCTGTCCGACAGCAAAATGCTAAAATTTTCCATAGATATCATTAGCAGCACTTAGTTTCAGACTTTTGAAGTTCGTCTAATGCAGTTCATAAAGTACTTTGAAATGTTTCCTTATAGATAGCCATCAATTTACAACATCACAGTATGAAAGTCAAATGATCTTGGGTCAAATTCCAGCTCTGTGCTAACCTGCTTTATGAAACCACAAGTCAATGGCTCTTTCATTTGTTTTTTGTTCGGCATCCCTAGCACTGAAGTAGATTAGCTCAGCTACGTATATAGCTACGTATAATGTTAGGACTGATTACCATTTTGTTCTCTCAGAGGAATTCATATTGCCTTATTACCTTGGTAACAATAGAGTAGTCATCTTCAGCACTGAAGGAATGCAGATATAGTTTCTCAGCATAAAATATTAGCATGCATAAGGAGACAGCAGAATTATCAGACAAGAGGTGGCAAGGGAAACCTTATTAAATAGGTATAAGAAACTATGTCAGTTGGAACACGTGCCTTGAAACACTGGGAAAAAAGCACTGTGTACTAAATAACTTTCAAAGCAGTTGTCACTTACAAAGGATGATGGTTAATGATGTTCTAGGCACCATTATTGAAGAACATTTTTTTTTTCTTCTTTTAGTAGATCAAGCTAAAATGAAACACAGTATGAAAATTGACTTATACAGAATACAAGAACATTGTGTAACACTGGTTCCTAAGTCCAGACAAAAAAATTAATTAGGTCTCTATGGAAGACTTGGAGTCATCTTAGAATCAGATATTTCTAATATATATTTCAACATATGATTTCTTTTAGAACAATAAAATTAGAACTACACAGCTGTGGGATACATAAAAATGTCAAGGATTGCAGATTTTGTAAGTTTTGTTTCTGATTTTGACACTGATATCTAAATTACCATTTAACACTTTGTTAAATCAGCTACTGATTACTGATATGATACTTCCAAAATCAGCTGCAAATGTTTTGGGTATTTGCACAGCTATTTTGCAAAGTTTACCATGCAGTCAGATGCTAAGTTTTGAGTTTATTACTGTACGGTCCTTCAGAATGTCTGATCTCCTCTAATTTAAATCTGTAATTTATGAAAGCTAATACTAGGAGATATTCCCACATTCACCATTATAACTGCATTGGAAAGAATCCTAAATTTTCTACTGGCAGTTGAGCAAAATTGACTCTCTTGGGACCATACTCAGACCTGCAATGCACCTTGATTGTCCATCTTCATTATGTACTATAGTAAAACACTGTATTTTTGTAAGAAAACAAACAGCAGTATCACTAAGGTCACAGGTTTTTCAACAGCGAGGAGGACAAACATTTTGATTATTTTCTGATTTTAATGACGCGAGTTTACAGTACCCAAGAGCAAAAAAACTAGGTGAGAGTCAGCTGTCCCAATTTTCACATTTCGTGCATTTAATTTCAAATTTGACTACTTTCCTACTCTTTGTTCTTGACATTTTTATGGACAGTATCCATGCGGCTAAATGCAGCTGTAAACAAAGGAACTGTAAGAAATTCAACTCTAAAATGCAACACTGTTTGTTGTACAAAGTTAAGGCTCACACCGTATTTTCATCTTAAAACAAATCAGACAATTTTTTTTTTAATTAGGTAATTTTAAACATTAAATTTCCTAGTATTTCTATTTGCAGTGGACAAACTATGAATTATTGTTGGTTAAGAGCATGGGATTAAATTATTGTTCTTAAAAGTACACATGGAGACCTACACAATCTGAAGACACCTTTAGTTTCTTTCAGTTTATTGAAAGGCAAATTGCAGACATTTTTCCTCCTATCCCAAAACCAGGAAACTGGGCTATATTTCATGGTATAGTGAAGTAAAAGCGATAAGCTTTCTTACAGAATTCAGAGGAAGTATTCTGACACCAACAAATAGGAATCCAAAGTCGCATTTCATATAAGAGGAGGCCTGAGGCTTCAAATTATGCATTTGCAAAGACAGATTTCATAACAAAAACAAAAGCAATATGCTATTGTTCTTTGGAAAACAATAGTCCAAAGACTATTGTTCTTTGGAAAACCTCTTTCCCATTCAAGCATTTGGCACCCAGGTAGGAGAGCCAGCTTCATTTTATCAACTCAGCTGGATTGACAGGCTCAACCGGAAAGCAGCAGTGAGACATCTAAGCACACATCGTGTGACTTTCGTACTACAGTAAGTTCAGCCACCGCTGCTCTTCCTTGGAGAACTATCGAGAGGACTTTCTTGTCCTGGAGAGAGGGGAATTCTGGCAAGAGAATGGGAGATCTATTACACAGTGCCTTTCATCTGAAGTGCCATCTGCTGAGTGTGCAGATAGTTAGGTTCTTCTCACCCTGTATATTTGGTTTAGAGTTTAACTCCAGAATACTTCTTTATGTTACCAGCCCAAACATCAGAAATAGCCACGACACCCAAGATCAGCCACACTCGATGAGAAGTTTTTTGCAAGGATAGCAGCAGGTGTGAGGGCAATACTCGAATGGAAGTCTGCATCAATTCTGAAAACAACCTCTCTCAATACCTACGTAAAGGAGGCGACTTTCCCAGCCACTTGAAGAAATGTTAAGTTAATGGCGTCTAGAGAGAAAAAAGAGCAGTACAGTGATTTTGATAGGAGAGTCAAGCTACCAACTTCTTCCTTGTCTTATAATTGTGGTTTGGCCAAAGACTCATCTAGCTCTCCTATCTCTTCGAATGAGAAGGCTGGAGGAATAGAATATCCTCAAGGAACCCCAAGTTACTTCCTTCTACAGCTGATTTATTTCCTGTAATCATCCTAAGTGGAATTCTCTTTTTCTGTTCAGCAGGCTGAGCCATTGCCCCAGGGCATGATAGGACTTGCACCTGCTCTCCACAGACAGCATTAACCCCTTCCTTTCTGAAAGGCTTTGTGTACAGCCTATCATATGTATATATTAAAAAACACCATCTGAAGCCCAAGTCTGATTTCAGTTGATCTGAAAATGAATTTATGTTCGGAATAAGTACGTGTACCTTACAGCAACACTACTGGGCATTAACAGTCTTGTTTTTCAATAAATCCTTTAAAATTTACATCAATCAACAGTACGACAATCAACATCATTAAACAGCACTTGACTAAATTTATAATGGCTCTGAAATTTTCCAATCTTATTTTGCTATTTTACAAGCCGCTGAAGACAGGTCTTTTGAAACTTTCTGATAAAACATTTAATCAATAACATTCTTTTTCAATTAATCAAAACATTTTTAAAAGTATGTTACTTAAGCCAAAACTTTCCAGGAGAAAAACAAAAAAAGTTTTTTATGGGAATTTTGTGTTTAAAAAAAAAAGTTTAAATTGTTATTTCAGAATTTTGAACTATTCATATTTTGTGATTTTTTTTTTTAACATCATTCCAGGAAATTGGTGTACTGAAAATATCACATAAAATGTTACAACTACAGAAAATTTAAAAAGGTGATTCTTTACCAAAATTCCAAAGCAAACTTGGTAATGAGCTCTCAAGCTTTTTTATCTCTGTCAATGGGCAGCTTAACTTCATGTTACTTGGGCAACGAACAAGCAATGTTAATAAAGCAGCACATGCAATCTTCCAAATCTGATTCCTGTTAAATACAAAAAGCACAAAGGGCAACTGAATTTGAATTAGGACTTTTACTTTATGTGTTATAACATGTATGTCTAAAACTATCAGCTAATAAAAATGAACTGTAATTATTCCAATTTTGGTTTGGGAATTTAGATAATAGTAGAAAAATAGTTAATGTTCCTATTTTAAAAGCTTTATCTTTCCAGTACATCTAGCCACTATCCATTAGGTTTTAGTAATATACATTTTTTTACTGCGTTTTTTTATTACTTTGGGATATTTCCTTCTCCATGATTCACAATTCTGTAGACCTTCCCTGGTCAAAACTCCCAGTGAAATAATTGTGCACAGATGTGAATATATTTGTAGGGCAAATTCATCTTTTGAACATCTTAATTGGTTTGGCTCAAATAAATAGCACTAACCAGTAATAAATTATTAAATGGAGTTCTTATTTAAAAACTGAAAGAATATTTCCAGAAAAATAAAAGTAACTCAGTACATTTGTTCATTTTAAGTAGAAATTGTAAACCAGATGTGAACTGGTTATGGTGAGATCTAACAAAATCAGTAAATAATTATGAAACTCATCACTAATGCAGTAATATTGCAACATTTCACTAAAGCTAGTATCTTCCCCCAGCAGCACTGTCTGCTGCCTTTCTACTACCACTTGTTGAAGTCTCTGGTAAGGTGACCTACTCTCTGGGAAAGACCCAAGCACTTGATTTATTTAGGAGGCTGATAACCTCAGCATATCTTTAGGCATCTCAGTTTAAATGTCTGAAGTTTGACGAGATGAATCCCACCAGAAGTTCTGACTGCAGTAGGGTTCAAAAACAGATCTTGACTAATCAAGATTATACAGGTCTCAGTAAAATTTGCTTCCTCAAAGATCTTTCTTTAAAATAAAAAATTTAAAATTCATATCCTGCAGCTAATATTATGCTAACACCATGTTTCACACCTCTTCAAATGCTTTTTTACTTTATCTGTATTTGTCTGTTTGGGTTAACATTCTTCTGAGAGGAATGGTAGAACTCCAGTACCTTCAGTCAGAAAAGAATACAGATTTTTAATATCCTGGGACCAGAAATATAACATATAACTTAATCCTGAAAAGTGTTCTCATACCTTGAGCCAAATGGAGTTATAACTGTTAGTGTCATCTTCAGATTCAGCCTGCACCTTTTTTTGTAATGTAGTATAAATAAGATCACTGTAAAGCAATACAGGTTGTAGGTACCACGATTAAAGCAAGATTCAGTTTTTAGGAGCACAAAAGAAACAGATTTTTAATATAATTATCCCTTTCCCCCCTATATCAGACATCTGTAATTAGAGGAACCTACCTTGGCCTAGAATACATGAGAAAAGGAAATGGAGGGGATGGAGGAGTGATCATTAATATCTCATCTTTGGCAGGTAAGAATATTTTCTGTATAAACACTTTCTACTCAGTGGTTTGTTTCTAAAATAAATACTGATCAGTTACACTTTTTCTTTTTTCTTATGATCCTTCCCTGTTTATTCCCATTTTGACCTGGTTTTTATCACACCAACCAAAGCAATATCAAAGGACCACAACTTTCACTTTCTTTTTTAAACTCAGTTCAATGAAAAATTCAGTAATTTTCCTAACCTGACAGTCTCATATTTAATAATCTTGAGCATGATGTAAATAGTTTTTTCCAGGTGTCAGTACTGCCACACACTGAGCAAAACCTAACTAGCCTCAATTCATTATGCTTATTCAACACTATTCAATAACACTGATGAATTAAAACATTATGTACACCACACTATGTGTAAGAAACAAAGTCTAATGTATAGATCTAATTTGAATTCAGGGTTACTTTAAATCTGATTATTTTTTATATTATAAATTATTTACCAGACATCAAATATGGAAAATCACATAATCTTTTGTCACACAAAGCGAGGAAGCAGTACTAAGTCCTCCATTCAACTCCATAAGAGCACAGCTGTAGGAATATTTAAGATTAGACTGTATCTACTTTACTAATGAAGATTGTCACATACCAACTCTGTCCATGCTCCACGTCCTCTCAGATGTGATCTACCTCTGCTTGAGAAGCCATAAAATTAATACCCATAATTCACTTAGCTTAAGTTAGCACATTCTTTGCTCACTACTTACCTATGCTACAACTGTATTTCAACTTATTGGCATAAAAATAGAATTATATGGCTTCTAATTCAGTCAGGGTTATTGCTCAGTTGTGAGGCAGAATCCTTCCCCCTTTCCTGCAGGTACAGGTGTTGCAGTGGCCTGGCTCATAGCAAAAAAAAAAAAGCACAACTAAAGGGGAAATGGTAAACAGAGAATGATGTCCCTTGACACCCTTTCTCAAAAAATTTGTGGGGAAATACTTGCATTCTCTCTTGTTTGTTCCAAGGGTTTGTTCTCTGCTATTGTCATACTGTCTGGGAAAAATAGTATGTATGCTGGCTTGCACTTGGATTGTCAGCACTTTCTTTGGTATCCATGCAGAATACCAAATGATAGTAATTTTATTCCAGGGTATTCCTATGTGTTTCAACAATGAAAAGCCAGGAAGACGGCAGTGGCCATAGTTCCTGAGCGTGAATGGCAATTAGTGCCCGATAGGTGTGAACGTTCTGAGAACTATTACATTCTCCCATAAACCTTGGCTTTTGTGATGAGAAGTCCAGTTCACATGCATGTGGATCTTGAGGATCTGACTTAATATATTCACATGCCACCAAGCCGCTCTATCACTCCGCTCCTCAGCAAGACTCAGATGAGTGAGGGGTCCTTTATTAAAAGTGTCCATGTACCTTTAAGTCAGGACTTGCAATATTGTCTAACACGTTGCTTACTGATGCCAGTAACTTTATGTCCATTGGCTGAAACAGACGTTGTATTGGGACCAAATTAACCCGAAGCAAACTGTTATTGCAGTACAAGAGTTCATCAACACAAGTAAAAGATTAAACATTTTCACAGAAGTGCTGATGCCCATGCAGTGCTTAAGAAAGGGCAGAGGTAGCAAGTAGTTTCATTCCTTTTCTAACTAGTCTCAAATGAACACCAAATTATTTTAAGAAATTGGCTGTTCTCAGTTTGTTAAGAGCTTAAAAGTGCCATTTTAATTATTCGATTAAAATTTCCATTTATTTACTTACTTATTTAACATTAACATTGGGCCATAATGATTGTGAGTATCTGTCAAAAACAAAGTGTTCTTTACTTTGTTTGCTTTTACATGGCTTGTATTTTAGCAATTGTTTCCAAGGTCATAAGGAAGAACACATCACAAAAACTGACATTCACTAATTTTTATCATTTATTTGTTTACTACTATCTGTGCTTTGTGATTGTAATTCTCCTTTTCAGTCTGAAGGTCTAAGTCCTGCAGTTTATTCCATATATAAAAGGCAAACTGCCATTGGCTTGTTTAACATTCCCTTTGAGTGTTTTCTTTTCTCAGAGCTAGCTTCTGTTGATCATTAAACTTTTGAGTGGTTTTGATCCCCTCTGTCCAAGTTCTCTATAAGATTTTATCAGATGTGCCCTGCAGACAGCAAATACTCTTGTGTCTTGCTGAGCAGCAAGAGTTATATTTAGGGTTTACGTAACATTCAATAATATTTGCTTTACACATTAATTAGTTTCCAGTTCTTCCCCATGGGAATTTTGCCAATGGTTTGACCGAGGGACAGAATCGAGCCTTGCTGTTTGATATTTCCAAACACCCACGGAACTACTTAAATGCTTCCTATGAAGTGGATGCTTGAAGTGTTCATTCAGCTGGATGAAAGCCAGAGCGTCCACCCTGTCTTTCCAGTATTGAAACTTCCTTTCTTTACTGTCTCCACAAGACAGGACTAAGTAAGAAAGGAAGCGAAATATGTGAGCACATGCAGCAAGCACACAACTCCTAACCCTCTGCCTCTCAATGCTATAAAACTTTCTTAATTTTATGGGATTTGTGCATTCATATCAAGAGGAAGTAATGTCGCTAAACAACTGAGATAATGGGAAATGTGTTTTACTGCCAACTTGGCCCCATAAAAGATAATGCCAATGACTGCAGGTTTTTGCATTGTAATAAACTTCATTTCAAATTCAAAGAGTAAAATGTCTTAAAATTTCTTCTGGAAGAAGCTATGCACGTTAATTTTAATTTTGTTTAACAGAATAGTTACAAGCAACAGAAAAAGCATATAAAACTGAATTTAACTCCTGAGATTATTTACATGATTAAATTGAGCCTTGTCTTTTACCTTTTGGTGGCTCGTACCTGTACACTTTTAGTAAGTAAAGGAGGAAAGGAACACGTGTGCATTATTATTATCAAAGCAGTACGCACTGTTTTGATAGCTTTCATACTTTTAAGAAGGTATTCTGTAAAACTGAATTTGTGTGTGTCTGGATTCTAGCAGATTAAAAACAAATTCAAAGTATTCATAGAGGGCTTAAAAACTGGTAAAATGTTTGGCGTAAGATCATGCTAGTTTTTTGAGAGTTTGTTCAATGTGTAGTGTATCTGGATACCTTTCTGTTGTCCAGACATATCGGCGGTTTGATTGAACTCAGCTTCAAGCACTGAGGCTCCACAAGCAGCCAGTTTGTCCTCCTCCTATAGAGAGCTTCAGTCAAAAGAAATTACTTAAAGTACCCCTCCCAGCAAACAGCCTTCTTTAGGACCTGATCCTATATATATTACAAGAACAAAGCTAAGCAGATGGTTAACATCATCGACTAAAGGCAGTCATCACTGCGATACAGTGGAGCAAAGGCGTAAATGGCTGTGCAACTGGGAGTTCAGCGTCATGAAAGAGCTTCTGGTCCCTCCCCTTTGTCAAAAGAAGGATGCTGAGCAGAATCCACAGGAATGTTAGGAAATTTAGAAAATATTTCCTTGAGACTTCAGTTCACTCTTAAAAAATTTCCTAGAAATTACATAGCTTAGAATTTTTGCTAGGATTTCCGTGTCTCCTTTGTTTTGACAGAGATCACAGCAGTATAGCTGACACAATGAATGTGATCTCGTATCCCTCCCTATTCGTAAGAATAGGGTATTATATAAACCCCTTTAATCAATTCTCTCATCACCCTGTAGGACCAATCATTCCCCTAACTCATTTCTCTAGTTACATATCCGCTTCTTCAAAGGAGGCTTTGGCCTTCAAAGAACATTATAATTATATTCCATACTCTTTATCCAGACTTTCGCCTGAGGGTGACAAAAGAGATTTCTGTAATGTGGTTTGGGAAGACATTTAATTTAAATAAATATGGCTAAATCTAGTGATGTTATTTATTTGTAACTATTCTATGTTTTGCAATAGGCTTTGATAAGTATATTTTATAAAACAAACCTAATACAGAAAGGAAAATAAATTACTTTGGCAATATTTTCCAGCACACAGAAATGCACAATTTTGGTTTGCTTTTAAATAAGTTCCACCAGTTTGCCAAAACTTACCTTTGAGCATTTTCACATATCTTTTTCATAAACAATGAAAAATTTAGAATCTTATCATGCCACATGATACTATTCCAACAATTAATGAAACTTAAAGATACAATCAAATAGAAATTACGTTTATCTCAAGCTGCCTAACAGAGCACCCATGGAGCAAATAGGGGGCAGAAAGGTCATCTAAAAGCTAATAAATCTTGTTCAAAGAAAGAGACTTGTTCAAATCTCTGAGGGCAACGTGTTCAGTGGGAAAGCATATCTGGGAAATGCTTAATTCATCAAAGCTCTTTGGTGGACTGAAAGGAAATACTAGTTTCAACAAAGCTTATGGATGCAATTGAAGCTTATTGATACAATCCTCCACCTCCAATGCTAATTTCTCAGGATGTGGATATTGAAACTATTAACCATGATAAATAATCAGTTGTAGTGAAAAGCCTGACACCATGTCTCAAATGGTAGAGTGGTCTTGACACTGTAACAACAAGGGGACTAGAGTATAACCAAGGGCAAGAGCTGCCTCAGCCTGCCAGGAACTTAGAAAAATAAAAAAGAGCAGAGTTAACACTGGCACACAGGATTACTGCTGGTCTGCTGGAATTGGTTTTGGTAAACCAAAGAGCGCCTTCAGTCATCATGAAATCACTTACAATTCTCCAGATAGGTCTCGGTGAAGATTAAGGGGAGAAGGAAGTGCCCTGTCCCCTTTCATGTAGCAGTTCAGTGATGCAGCAACATCCAGTGAGAGGAAAATCTAGGCATGGCTGCCTCCCTTTGCTAAGAGAGATTTAAAACCACACGTATTACTTTCCAGGAGTACGCTGCCCCATCACCATCCATTTGAACACCCTCCCCATCCTCCCCCGTTATTTTGTGCATAGTATTCTCCAGTCTGCTTCACTGCTGTTCCACTTTGCATAAGCTAATTAAATATTCATGGCAGCAGCAAATAGAATCCAGATTTTCTAACAAATGAATGTCCTAACTAACATGCTATGAACTCATCTTTGCCAGCAAAGTCCCCTGGACACGCTGCAAACAGATAGAGGTTCAGCTCTTCCCAGGGCAGGGAAGTGGCTCGGAGCTGGAAATCCCACCCCATGGTTCTGAGTACTGAACTCAGGAACAAAAGTGAGACAGGACTGTCGTTGTTTTGGGTGAGGGATGCTAGGACTAGGCTTCATTGTCGCCTCTTTGGCTGAAAGCGAGTCAGTTGATTTCTTCTTGGTTCTCCACTTCAACAAAAATAATAATTTGTTAGAAAAGAGCTGGGTTTAATGCTTTGATTCAAAAAAAGAATTATTTGTTCCTCCCTTCCTGCCTAGTTATTCCTGCTTTCTTTTGACATTTAAGTAAGTCTTTGAACCTTATTTCACTTCATTATTGTGAGCTTTGCCCTTCCTTTGTTTATTTCTTGACTTTGTTTCTCTTCCCTGTCAAGTAACAAGTAATTTGTCTTACTGTGTTTAAAAAAAAATAAAATTACCTCTAGATTCCTCCTCTGTGTTTCCCAGGGGATTTTGTCTTTTATATGTCTGTTAGCTGCAGCCTCACCGAATTTTTTTTTTCTTTAAAACATGTAAAACTACTCAGGAGTTTTAAAAAATAGTATCATATTTCTAAAGTGCTAATATTCCAATGTTTCCAATTATTTGAAGAATGGCGATGATCATCAAAAGTCACTGAACAAAGGAATATTAAGCTCGTGTTGTGATCACAACCCACAGGAGACAACAATAAAGCAATTTTTTGTACAGCAAGTTCTCAATCAGAAGCATAACACATTAATCCAAGCTAAGCAGATAAATACAAGATTAAGAGAACAACCAGCCACTAGGTTAAGTTCGTTCTTTATTTCCCACAACTGAACAGTGCTAATAACAGTCTTGCTTTCACTGGATCACCAATATAGCATTTAAGCCAAGGAAAATCCTTGAAGCTGTCAGGATTGTAATTACAGCTTCATGCTGTCTTAGAAAGTTTTTTCCTTCAGACAAAAGGGATTCCAGAGCAAAAAGCCCATGCAAGTCTCTGGCATACATAATTTTTCTGGCAAATCCATACTTAAAGCTGGGCAGTATATTCTTCATCTCCACTGAGGTAAGTCACACCCCTTCTTGATTATACCACTTAAATATATGAAGCATGAAAAAATGTCTCTCAGAGATTAATTGGGATGACTTTCATTGGAATTAAACAGTAACATATCAAAATCAGCACCCAGTTTTACAACACCACATTCAGGAACACAGACAAATTTTATCCTCTAACTTTAGGACAGGCTGTGGTTTGCTACTCACAAGACCCTAGCTTTCAGGTGGAACTACAGCATCCATGTGGTCCAGTTCAGCTGTCATTGTACAGTGGAAATTGTTGGCATAATGGGCAGAAATGTTTATACATTTATGGTCTGTCACCTCTTCTTGACCAGCTTTTTGCCATCAAACTCAGTCTTACTAGAATTAAGTTCTTAATTTTCTTCCAAAACCTTAGATCTCTCTTCTTTCTTTACTATGAATGAAGATTTTATGCTTTCCCTCTCCCACCATAAAGGTTCATAATGTTAGCAGTAATTTTTCATTTTGCTTCTCCTTTTCCGTACAGTATATAGCAACGATATTACCCAGGATTGTTACCTCTTTTCCTGTTCTCTTCTAAAAATCTTCATCCCAGCTTTTCATTCCAGAACAGGGCCCACTGTAGGAGGTACCATACAATGAAATCCTTTTCAGACAATCTAATTCCATCTAGAAAACGCCTCAAAAAACTTTCCTATCCACATCTCTACTTTCATTTCTTTCATCTCACTATCTGAGGTCTTCATCTTACCGTTCCATTCCTAGTGTTACTCATCTCTATACTCTCTCTGCACTGAGGTCCTGCATTCACTTCTTAGTGTTTTTTCCATTTGTTTATTGCAAAATGGCTTCCCTATTTCATTTAAATCTCTTTAAAAAAACTATCACCACCATTACCAGAGTAGTATTGTAAGTAATGTAAATTTTACAATGCCTCAGATGGCGCATCAAGTCTGAAATACTTCCTTTCCAGTTGCTCCTTTGAGCAAAAACTACTATGCAAAAATGTATGTGTTTGTTATAGGACTAACCACGTTGTCAAATAAATAAGCAGTAACAATATCGCGCAGGCAGACATATTGGCTGACGGCGTTTCAGTCAGCTGTGCAGCACAGGACACTGGCATTAGGGCTAGCGGAGAAGCTTTATCCGGGGCCGAGTTTCGTTACTGTTCCACAGAAGCAACATAAGCCAGGGAGTTGTCAGACATCGTATTTATGTTTCCATATATTACAAAGATAATATTAAATGAGTTACAGTAGTCAAAATGGATTTTGCTATTTCCCTTACCTCTTCCCACACTTCCTCCCTGAAATCACTGTAAATGATTGCATGTGTTCAGTTTACATATCGACACCTAGAGTGTCAGCAAAGTTTATCTAAAATACATACTTTATATATTTTAAATACTTTACAGATTCGTAGGAAAAGACTCAAAAATCTCATCCTTGAGTGTTTTGTTCCCGATCCTGTCCTCCATATTAAGTCATACTTCATAGATACAAATTTTCCTCTTGAAAGTTTTACTGGTTTAGTACTTTTCTTTTGCCTCCTCATGTTTTTATTGATCTCTTATCTTTTCCCAGCCTACCTCAGATTACAAAATATAAGTTGCAAATTTTTACTAATCTATTTTGTTGCATCTCTATAAATCCATCACTTATTTTTTACATCATAGACCTATATGTGTGTTTAAGGTAATCATAAATAGGAGTACCCAACATCTTTATTCAGCTACCTTTTTATTTTAAAGGACTCATGCCTGCTGCATTCCAACCTGTGTACTGTGCTACAAAGCATGGTGTAATTGGATTCACACGGTCAATAGCAGTAAGTATGTGCTTTTGAAAACAGTATCAGCAGCTGCCTGGGAACATGCTAAGTTTCTCATGTTTCCTCTCTATTGTCACACAACTGGAACTAATTTTCTTAAAGAAAATGAAGTGTCTGAAGCAGTGGAGGTTCCCTCCTTTCACAAAGGGAATCCAAAGATGGAATAAATAAGGCCTGTGTGTGTTTATGACCAATTTGAGGTTTTGGGAGCATGGAAGAAGGATGTTGAAAAGTAATTTAAGGACAGCCCGAAAGTCAAATTTTTATCCAAGCCTTAAAAATATTTTTCATAACTTCATCCCAGTCATTTACCATTTTGGTTTCCTTATTTGTAAGTCACGCTGATGACTTTTTTTATGATAAGTAGCCACTAAAGTATATAAAAAGTGACTTGAACACAAAAATGTTTACCATCATTTATTCTTACCAACTCCTAATACACTGAAAATGCAAAATGACACATTCAGTTTGGGACAGGTTAGATGCTGTATGGACATATAATAAGCCTTAGCCTCTGACTCCAGAATTTTCTAGTTAAATTGAACAAGCAGTATAGTAAAAAAACTTGGACAGAGCAAATATGATTACACTTTAATAGCCCAAGCTTAAAAGATAGTCTGCTCATGTAAGATTTCCAATCTAATTCCAGAATAAAGCACCTGAAACGATCACTTGGATAGTTTATTCACATTTTACAACTACACCCCCTACCCAAATAATTTCTTTTAGATTAACTAAACAGATTAGTATGGATAAGTGTTGAATATAACATATTAGCTACAGCATGAACCTGATACCCGATTTTCCATTTTTGTTTTCTCATTATAATATAAACATCACCATCTAAGTTGAAAAATAAAGGGTCTGCTAGAAAATTAGAGGAAATGCTGTATCTATGGAACATGAGAATGCCTAGGAGAAAAAGAATAATAAACATAGCAAATCACTGTATTTACCAGGAAAGGCAGTACAGCGTAACATTGGGCAGGTACGATACAAAACATCTAGGACTTCAGTTTCTTTTCTTCTCCAGACCAAAAGGGCAGGCTATCATATCATGAAAATGACATGTGATTTACAGAATACCGGAAAGGATTCTTGTTAAATGTTAAAATAAACAGAACTCAGTGTTGAACAGTTATGGTTATTCTTGGGTATATCATGTACCGTTCATAAGATCTGTGTCATTGCTAAGAAAGTTCATCCAGCATTCAACATATGCCTGGATGCTGATCAGACTTCTTTGCTACACATGCATTGGTAGCACCACAAATGAAGGGTCCTACCATTCCCAGAATAATTTGTGCTGCTTGCTTTCATCATGTTCCTGAACAGCTTCCCAAAAAAACTCCTGCCTCTTTCCTGGAGTTCACAGAGACTTTCCTGTGGAGATGTTCATTGATAGATTCATCCCTTGGCAGGGACAACAGAGCAGCTGGAAAGGTTTAGCATTAGAGTTCTAAGGGTAGAGACCAAATCCTATTTCTATTTGACATGAGGGAGGTAAATACAATCTTAGAGTAAGATCTTGATTTGATTTTGGATAGTTTTCTTTTAATAACAAAGATCTTATAAGATTGGAAGCATACATTTGGAAGATTTTTTTACTTGGTTTTGCTTATGAGAGTTATATCATTACCCTAGAATACTGTTAATGACATGCCAAGAACACTAATAAAGATATTAGAAAAAAACGGCTGCATGGAAAGAAGTGTGTTGATTTCTTGTAGAATTGTTCTCCTAGCAAAATAAATGTTTTTTTCAAGGAATCTAGTACGATTACTAGAGAAAATGTGCTTCACACTTAGTTGTTGAAACAAAACAATCAGTAGTAACAAAATTTGCTCACTAGGCAAGGCAGGAAAATACTTAGTGGTAAATCTTGTTCTTTGAAAAATTACTTACTTACACAAAACTGTTTTAAAATGTTGATGACAACATTTTACAATAACATATTCTCTTTTCTAGTTAGCTGCTAACATGGAAAACTACGGTGTGAGACTCAACACAATTTGTCCAGGATTTGTCAACACACCAATTCTTCAGTCAATAGATAAAGAAGAGAATATGGGACAATATTATTCATATAAGGATGAGATAAAAAATATGATGCAGTTCTATGGCGTGATGGAGTAAGTCAAGTCAGATACAATGGTTTTTTGCCCTTTGTTAATGAAGAACAAGCACACACAGTAGCACTTTCAGCAGAATTAAAATAAAAGGGAAATGCTGTCTCAGATAAAAGTCTATCAAATGTTATCCAATATACAAGGAACAAATGGCAGATATCTAAGGCTATTTTAAGAGTATCACGCACATAGTGATATCTCCCTTTATGCGTTCCCATTTTGCAGCAAAGTGCAAATCAAATTCTCAAGTTAAAAATAGTTTATTAGTTTTTAATAGCTCTTGGTGTTCTTCCATAAATTTGCTTAATCAAACTTGTTATGAGATACAGAGTGTATCATTTGTACTGAATTTCCACAAAATTTGCAAGCGAACAAAGACAGAAATCAAACCAAGAACTGACAAGACTGAACTAAGCTCATGAAAGCATAGAAGCGATGATGGTGGAGCAGACCAAAGAGTTACCAAGCCTGTTACGGTATTGCCAACAAAGGGCAAATGCAGAGAGCTAGGAAAGAGAGTGAGACTGACAAGCATAAAGTGATATTTTTTTAACACTTTCTCGGTCTCTAACAATTTAGCTGCCCAAACACTTCTCCACAAAGGAAGTTGGATGACTGTGTTGTTTCACCCACACTGTTTCATCTGTAAAACACATTGCACCTATTGACCACAGCAAACTGCATGTGACGAAATTCTCCTTACGCTAATTTGTATGTCAGTCCTGCTACAGAAACGGGATAAATCAACAGCAAAGAGCTCCAGAGGGCTGTGTAAGGATTACTTCTGTCCATTGCCCTGACAGAGACAGTTTTGATAGGAAGCCCAGTGGCAGCCAGTTGTCCACAGGGATTTAGCAGTAACTAGAGCAAACAAATGATGATTTGTAAAGTTGCCACTTTACGTTGTATGTTCTGATTGAGGAGACTGAATTTCTCTCCTGAAGCACTCATACCACCTCTTTTCTTGAAAATAAATCTGTTCAAATACCAGTTTGTTTCATTTTCAGGGTATATAGATTTACATCGAGTTTCTTTACTTGTCCTTTTCACATGTTCTATTGCATTGTGATTCTGAAATCTTTTTTTTTTTAGCCCATCAGTAATTGCTGAGGGACTGATAACAATAATTGAAGATGATACTCTAAATGGAGAAGTTATGAAGATTACAGCATCCCAAGGGATTCATTTTCAACAATACAGCCAAACACCTTTAACATCATCAAAGAGATAAATAATTGGTTTATGCTAGTTATGTTGGGCTTTTCTGAAATTTTGAAAATAGTAATTTTGGGAAAAAAGGTTGGTGTTGTACCTAAAGCAGTTACAGTGTTCAAACATTCACATCCTAATAACGAAGAGATGGACAAGAAAATCTGGTGTGGGAAGATGTTACCATCCTATTTTGATTCTATAAACTCTAATAATAGTATTCAGTAGAATAAACAGACTGCTCTGAAGAATGTTGATTATAGGGGCCAGTTTTTTCCTTCTGGTAGTTCTGATTTACATACTCCAAGTGTATTTTGGTGGACCTGACTTACTTCGTATAATTCTTTTCACTGTCATAAGCATCTACTTATTTACATCTTGAATTCTTCAGACCAGGAATTCAGTTCAGGAATCTAGAATACAATTATACCTGTAAGGAGTTAAGAATTTACTTTTTCTTATGAAATGTAAAATAGAACAAGAGGCAAAATTCTCTTTCCACGTTTATATAACACAAGAAAGTACAGGTTTTTATCTTCTTGGATTTTAGCTATTTATAAAAGAGTTCAGAAATATTTTTGTTTTCTTTTATAGATATATATATGAGAATTTTCTCTCTCTGTATATACAAGGACAAATACTTTGGCATTAATTGAAATGTCTACTTATTAAATCTCATTTTTTTAAACCTTTAAATCTCATTTCTTGTCTTGACTGATTAAAACCTCAACTAAATCCTGAATAATCTGGGGGAGTTGTGTTTTATATATGTCCATTTTGGCATCACGATACATATTCTTAGGTGGAGCATATCATATAGTGGCAATGGAAATAAAAAATGAGCTTCCTACTTCCGGAGAGCCATTGGACCTTCTGAATCCAGGTTAATCCCCAGCTACCTTTACAAAACAAATCTTGGTACTCTGTGGGTTACACGCCTCACAAAAATAAATTTTGACACAGTAATTTATTTAGTCTCATAACACAAAAAGATTTTGTAACTCCTGGGAAAGCTGAGAAAAGTTAATATTTACCCTCCTTAGGAGTGCTGACTTTAATTTCACTGAGGTAAACATTGGTTTTTTCAGCATTTTAACTGAAAGAGCAGAGACACTAGTATTTACCTTCTGTGGAAGGCAGGAAGTAATAAGACTGTGGGGAGAAGAAAAGAAGCAGACACACATACCTTGAATTACTCATCATTCTCCCCCCGCCTCCATTTTTGGCTATGTATGTTAACACTATTTTTGAAGCCTATTTTGAATGCACACATGATGTTAGCCACACCATCAGCATCCCTGAAAGCATCTGTATATCCCTATGAACTAACAAGTACTATCTGATTTGATGGTATTTATTTTTACTTTTGTCTCATTAAAACCAGAGCATTTCCTAATATGTGACAGAGTAGTGCAAAAGATGTGATGTAAAAAGTCAGCATGATGCTTTAGTTAGGTCCTAACACTGATAACCATCTACTTCTGCTTCTCTCCTTGTTAAGCAGTATTTCAATAAAGTTTATAAACAAGGGAAGATTTAATACTAATGATAGTATATACAAACCACGTAACTAGCCACCACCACACTAAGTTAGCTAGTAACTCAGCAGCTTCTCCTAATAACACACCTCAAATAACGATGGGAATATTGTAAATATCAGTATGTGTGTTGATGATGTATTTTTGCTTTCACTGCTTTTGTTCATCCCTACTTCTTGCTGCCTCAAAAGAAATATCTGTTAAACAGCAAAGGTTGAGTTTTCCAAGGGATCAATGAAAGAATATGTAATTTAAGAATGTTAGTAATAAAAGGACAGAAGTCTGATGTATGACCCCTGGAGGAAGAAAAACAGAAAGAAATTTAAGGTTAATTAGAGCCAATCACTTTAGACATTGCACAATAAACTTGTGGTATTGCACTGGTACAAAATTCTACTTCTGTGAACTGGCAATATTTTAAGAATGGATTCCATTTATGTGGTATATCAATAGTCACACAAGACAAAATTAAGTTAATAAAATATGCAATTAGACTCCAGGACAGCTGAAAAATCTAAGCTTATGTCTGGGAAAGAATTAAAGCCATATCTTTCTTGTATGTATAGGTCTCTTCTTCTGGATTACTTTTGTAACTGAAAGACAGATGTTTTGAAATCAAAGCCATACAGAAAACTTCGTGAAAGGCAGATACCGCATTCACTTCCATCTGATAATCCGATAAGGAAGTCTCAGAATGCAATACATGTTTTTTGATCAAATAAACATTTATACTAAGATAAATCCCAAATTATTAGCAAATCTGGAACTCATTGAAAGACACAAGGAAGTAACAATGAATTAAAAGTCTTGATGCGAATTCTAATAGGAAAAACAGCCATCAAATTTCTGCCTTGTAATTAAAAAACAAATGCCCCAAAACAAATATTAGAGTTTTCCCATTTCAGTTAGTCTGTATTAAAACACATCTGAGGGTATTATCTGCACAGGAAGAACAAGTCCTAAATATGTTTTGGAAAGGTTTCCTGTAAGACTTCCCCTCAACCTTTGGAAGTCTGCCAGAAAGCAAGAAAAAGAGCATATGTTTGATTTACAGACAGAAACACCCAGTGAAGCAGTAAGTAGAAAGATGAGTTAAAGGGAGAAAGTGAGTTTCATTTTTGCACAAAGACTGTTTTGAAACTTCATCTTCAGTTAAAAGTCTTGACATAATTCCAAGACTTAATTTATTTTGCCTGGGAGAGCATCATTTTTAAGACG